AATACCTTTAACTAAGTACCTCACAGGTACTATCAATCTATAATTTATTGTATGCTTGACGCATTTAAACGTATGTAAACAATAATACGAGCGCGCAAGGTACGACGGGTGGTTATGATTCTTTAAGAAAGAGATTCATTCCTAGGCGAATATCATCAAATGGAGTATTTCAAAATGTGAATGGATTCGAACGGTGGTCATTAAGAGAGCTAGATATCGAAAACGATGAATTCAAGGGGAGTCATTTCTAGCGTGATTGCTTTCATATTACCTCTAAGATATGAATATGGAATGAATAAACCTACATTTTCTTACATCTATAGCGGTTTAGCGGTCACCCTGTGTGAACCGGAAATTTCAATATTCTGCACCCAAATTTGAAAGAACGCCTTTCGATTCTATTCGCACGAATCGTTCAATTGGAGTATTTTCTGGACGCTCCTTCAGAGAATTAACCCTATCGGGCTTAGATCAGCCAAGTGCGGCTCTCTTGCCTATGACGTCATGCAAATAGGCAAGCTATTCGCTCTTAGGATTTAGCGGTAACCCTGTGTTAACCGAGAATAAAACTATTCTGGTGAGAGGGCCCTACAAAAATGCATCCATTGGTAGCAAATAGAACCAATAGATTCCCATCGAAAAGAAGAATATCCTTGACTAATAAGAGCTGGGCGATCAGGCGTTACGGTGAACGACCAATAGGCAGAGAGTAGATTAGGTTAAAATAACAAGTCTTGTAATTCTCGGCATTCCTCGCGTGAGTTTATAGTGGGCCTTAGTGACTTGATGAACAATGCCTCTAAAAGGCGTAAATTGACAGGGTCTCTGTCGCGTGCGATTACACGTGTCTTAATTTGCGTGTTATTCGAGCAAGATCTTAAATGCGATGTGTTCTTTGATTCTGTCATGAAGACAACGTTCTCTCAACACATCCACTACTCTTTTTCCGTGGATGAGTGGCTGATCATCTAGACGTGATGCCAGGCGATAACTGTGCCGTGTTTGGTTGCAGTTCGTCGCGCAAAACTAAAGGTATCGGCATATGGAAGCTGCCTACAGCTCAAGATGAAGCTTACCGTAAATGGCGAGATGCGTGGCTAGGCGAAATCTCAAAAACAAGAGTTATCGACCACGATTTTAAAGAACGGATCAAAAGGGACAGAGTGTATACCTGTGAGAAACATTTTAATGCCGATGATGTTGAAATTTGTAAGTAAAGAATGACTTATAACAGTTTATTGTAGTTTGTTTACGTGCTCTGATCT